TTGTTATAGGTGAGGTGAGGTGAAATTGGGTTTTACGTCGTACTTGAGAATATTTCGCTCATATGACGACGTGCATGCGTGTGTATGTGTATGTGGGGCTGCTTGAACTAGCCCAGACTTAAGCTGGTTTTATAGTGCTAGCCCACTGAGATACCATGCCGCAGTGAAGCATGAATACCCCACTCAGACACATTATACTGACTCCCAGCCGACCAGTCCTTGTTGTACCCATTAATGCCGAGCGCCAGGCAGGGATCAATAAGTACCCTATTTTAACGTCTTATGACGTATGACGCGGTCGGGGATCGAACCCGCGACCTTCCGCTCTCCGGGCGGACGCTCTAACCACTACACCACGGAGGCGGTCTAGTTGTTATAGAGAGACAGTGTCTGTAGAGAGAAGGCGTCTATATGTTAACGCAGTCTCCTTTAGCCATCGGCCAGTTTGCACTTCTGAAGACATGGTGCCTGTATTGAGAAGCATCACTACAGTCTTCTTGAGACCTCAATGTGTTAGTTGTTCAAAACATAGTGTCTGTATAGGGAGCCTGGCCATCATCTAGCACTGTCTCCATGGGACCTCTTTGTGTTATGAAGACACATTGTCTGTTTCTATGTTGAGGTATACAACATTATTCCACCCAATACACGTTTAGTGACCCGCAGGTTTGTTCAAGGAATTAATGAAGTAACCCTCAAGATAGCATCAAGAAATATTTTCGCCTAATTTATCCTTTTAATGAAAGAGACCATCAAAACACATGCATAATATACATCGTCTGCTGGATATTCCCTGTAGTCTGCAGTTCTTGCAAGAAATCTTCCAGTAGAACAGATTTATGTTATAACTTTACAATACATTCCCAACATGTGACAAAAAGCGTGACCCTCAAATATGTTACGTGTTGCACCACGTATCATTAACGTTTTCTCTATTTAAATATGACTGTGGTGTTTATTCTGCTGATACTGGGTGAGGTGAGGTGAAATGGGGTTTATCGTCGCACTTAAGAATATTTCGCTCATATGACGACGTGCATGCGTGTGTATGTATGACAGCTTCCATTGTACTAGCCCAGACTTAAGCTACTTTTATAGTGCTAGGTCACTGAGATACCATGCCGCAGTTAAACATGAATACCCCACTCAGACACATTATACTGACACCGAGCCGACCAGTCCTTGTTGTACCCATTAATGCCGAGCGCCAGGCAGGGACCAACAAGTACCATATTTTAACGTCTTATGACGTATGACGCGGTCGGGGATCGAACCCGCGACCTTCCGCTCTCCGGGCGGACGCTCTAGACCTACTACACCACGGAGGCGGTCTCCTTTAGCCATCGGCCAGTTTGTACTTCTGAAGACATGGTGCCTGTATTGAGAAGCATCACTACAGTCTTCTTGAGACCTCAATGTGTTAGTTGTTCAAAACATAGTGTCTGTATAGGGAGCCTGGCCATCATCTAGCACTGTCTCCATGGGACCTCTTTGTGTTATGAAGACACATTGTCTGTGTCTATGTTGAGGTATACAACATTATTCCACCCAATACACGTTTAGTGACCCGCAGGTTTGTTCAAGGAGTTAATGAAGTAACGCTCAAGATAGCATCAAGAAATATTTTCGCCTAATTTATCCTTTTAATGAAAGAGACCATCAAAACACATGCATAATATACATCGTCTGCTGGATATTCCCCTGTAGTCTGCAGTTCTTGCAAGAAATCTTCCAGTAGAACAGATTTATGTTATAGCTTTACAATACATTCCCAACACGTGACAAAAAGCGTGACCCTCAAATATTTTACGTGTTGCACCACGCTTCATTAACGCTTTCTCTATCTAAATATGACTGTGGTGTTTATTCTGCTGATACTGGGTGAGGTGAGGTGAAATGGGGTTTAACGTCGCACTTAAGAATATTTCGCTCATATGACGACATGCGTGTGTATGTATGACTGCTTGCATTGTACTAGCCCAGACTTAAGCTACTTTTATAGTGCTAGCTCACTGAGATACCATGCCGCAGTGAAGCATGAATACCCCACTCAGACACATTATACTGACACCGAGCCGACCAGTCCTTGTTGTACCCATTAATGCCGAGCGCCAGGCAGGGACCAACAAGTACCATATTTTAACGTCTTATGACGTATGACGCGGTCGGGGATCGAACCCGCGACCTTCCGCTCTCCGGGCGGACGCTCTTACCACCCTACACCACGGAGGCGGTCGATTTGGCACTGGGAGTTCTTGTTATCACTCTTTTCCAACGCAGATATAATACGCTGTATTCATGACCGTGTGCTTTGCAATGTCAGTCACCACCTTTCTGTGACTGTTTGAAACTATCCCAGTCAGTATTTCACACTTCAGTAGATGATAAATTACATATCATCAATTTGGTCTGTGTGTACTACTGATGAGGATAAAGAGCGCGTAACTTTCGGCGTCTCAAATATATATATATAACCTGGGTCTGACCTTGAGTTGCTGTCATCTATCTTACAGATCATCTGATACCTCATGTCTTGGTCGACTATATACTCTGAAGGTCGCTGATGGCGATGTGGTGATAACGTCGACGGACAGGTCGATGTGATGTCTGCTTTGCTGATATGCGTTAGTGCAAACTGCCGTTGGTGAATCAAAATAAACACCTGTGCGCATCCGCTGTACTTACGAACACACACATATATAAATATATGTGTGTGTGAGTATGTGTGTGTGTGTGTGTGTGTGTGTGTTTTGCAGGAAACAAGTATAATCAGTGATTATGTATAACCACTGTCACGAAACTCTAAGATGTCAGTGACTTTGACACAGATCAAACAGTTGAACTTGAGAGTTTGTGGTGTCCAAGGATTTGCGAGATGCAACTGTGCTGGGACCAAACGGTGTCAAACCAACCGCTGCAAATGTTTCAAAGCAAAGCTGGAGTGCAATTCCAGATGTCACTCAAGTCTGCCACGTACAAACAAACACTCCTAAATGTCCATATTTACGAGTATGATGTAATGTTAAATACTGCCAAGTGTGGAATGTTAAATGAAAACTGTTTCCGTGACCAACATGATCTATGTATCGTTCCACAGTCTCTCTGGGCCAATGACTCTTGTCTTGTAAATTAAGATTAAACCTAATCAACATGGTTCTTCTTTGTTACAGTATTATTTCATATAAGGGATCATTGTACAATATAAACACAAGGAGTTATACCCAAGAATATGCTTTCAGTAAACAAGTATAATTTTCATTTCAGCGATTATCTCTAATTACTGAAAATTTCAGTCATTAGACATAACCACTGCATGAAACAGGCATTAGACATAATCATTGATTATATACTCAGCAGCAAAATACCAACGTCGGTACGAATTCAAAATTCGATAGGCACTGTAATCAAATCATTACAGAAATGGACATAATAAACGGATCAAAAACATTTTTTGTGTACAATATCTTGACACATCAATGAATAACTCAGCACAATAACCCACCACGAGCGGAACTAACTGCAGCACAGCTTCTATGCATGGAGTGCACCAATCGATTGATGAAGGCCATTGGCACCTGGAACTACACTCTGAGAAAGGCCTGGCGCAATATATCGGCTGTGTTCGGCCTTGGTATGACATTATTCAGTCTCCGCTGAATTTCATCCCAAAGATTTTCAATCTGACTCTCATCTGTGAACAGAACAGTTCTCTATTGCCTGTATCGGTGTATTGGTGTTGTAGGGCAAACTGTAGACGTTCACGCCGATGACGAGGGGTGAGGATAGGTCCACCGTAAGGTCTACGGTAATGGAGGTTCCCGCTGTTAGGACGTCGGCGTACTGTATCAGTACTGGTTGGTCTTTCGTGTGTTCCCAATGTCTGGCGTGCTGTTTCGGATGCCTGCATGAAGGGATTCTGTACATGCTGTCACACAACATGACGGTCTTGTCGTCTTGTGGTCACCCTTGGTCTGCAAGTACGGGGTCGATCATTTGTGGTCTTGGTGGCCCGGAAACGTTGCTTCAGCCTGTAGATGGTCCGAACGTTCTCCTGGAAGTGACTGACAACGGCTTGTGCAGTGTGGCTAGCTTCAAGTCTTCCTAGCGCCTGGTTCCTCTGAGCTGTCCTGAGTCGCGGCATCCTGCTGACGTTGTAATGTGAATGTTTCAACCAGGTTTGGGGGTGCGTTTTCTAGGGCAGCATGAGTTGCATGAACAACATGGAGAACACCGTACCATCTCCGAGATCAGGGTGCGTTTTCGAGACCATTTTCTGGGTTCCATTCGGAAGGAATGTCTTTGCTTAGGTAAAGTTGTCAAAATATACAGTCAAAACATTAAATGAGTTTACAGTAATCCGTTTCTGCGAAGGAAAATTCCAAACTGACGTTTCTTTTGCTGCTTTGTATACTTGTTTCCTGTAACATATATACATATATAAGTAATTTGTGCAGGTGTATAAGCAATGAATATATATAAAATATGAGTCCAGATATTTCTTCTTGCCAAAGCTCCTATATCAGGACAAGATCTTTCGCTGTTCAACGGCTCGACAGGTGCACAATGAGTGACTCAACTTTCATTTCACATGTGTACAGGCAGACACAAAGCTGCTGGTGGCATGAAATGGCATGGAGCTGGCGCCAGTCAAACAACAGAGGATCGATGTGTGACTGGTACATATAGATATAACGACAATGGCAGATGGATGTTTGTACTTACGTATCATGAAAACATGCCATACCTTCCATGCGCCTTTGCTTACAAACATTCTTTTAGGCTTTTGCAATCTTGGTACTGGCTAGTGTATGAATGTGCGTGAAAATCGTTTTCCAGTTCCTTGTTTTGAAAAAGAGTCTCTTTCGCACGTGTTAAACGCTATTTATCTTCAACCGTTTGACATTATGTTTTACTGACGTTCCTCTAAACACACCGGTACCAAAAAGGAAAGCATTTCTGGTGGCATGCAACACCCCGCGCAAGGCAAAATTACAAACAAAAGTAGTCATACGTATTTATTTTACACATACGTCAATACAGAGTAGGGATCAGCAGTGAGGATGATGAGTATTTCATACACCAAGACCAATCCTGGAAATCCTGGCACTGGGCAAAGTGCTGCAGTAATAAAGGTATTAGAGTTTGCACCAGCCAGGTGTCCACGTGTTGCCGTATTTTCTGGGATCGCTGTTAGGGTTCGTAGCAGGGTAGTTAGGAGCGACCATCTGCTTCTTGTACTCCAGAAGGCGAGATTTCAGCTTGGCGACAACGTCTGGTAGCTTGGAGGCGAGGTCATGTCTCTCTGTGGGGTCATCTGAAGGATAAAACAGTGGAGACAAGGTCAAGGTTAACTTGTAGGATGTTTGATACCGCAATCAGCAAACATTACAGATATTTGATTGTATTGTGTATGCAGTCGATAAAACCAGTGGTTAAAAGGATGAATATCGTCCAACCTTTCGGACACTAAGACACCCAGTGTAATCACCAAACACATTAACTCAGCTCCTGCGACGTGCAGTTTGTTCGTTCGTTCATAACTTCAATCACTGAATTTTCACCACACTCCTTACACTTAAGGTTCTGCAGTAAGTTCATATTTAAATACATACCCATCACGTTAAAAAGTTGCAGTTTATCTGGGTTGAGATCATATATAGTTGTTTCATAAATATCATCGGCCGTGTTGTTCATAGGTCGATGCCAGCCATCTTGTGTTCCCGGGAAACCCATTAGCAGCTTGTAATCACCAATCCTGAAACAAAATATATAATAGCCTTGTTTGTCGTATCTAGATTCACTAACCGAGTAAGTAAATTCCACATGCTCTGGACAGCGAGCGTTTATCATATTTGTCAGTGACATACATCGAAGAACTAAGGCTAAGTGTGATGCCTTCAGTCACTTCCCTCGTTAGCACCACAGCAAAAACAAATATGTTTATAGAGATAACGGGGTGAAAATAATCACAGGATCAGTGAAGTAGAATTCAAAATGCTTTCAAAGCTTTTTATCTTTGTGTGTCAGCTTAATGTGGGAGGAAGTCCCGGAGCATGTGGTTGACAAACCTAGACACTTAATAATCAGGATGAATCTCCAACCACGATCAAGGGATACTGCCCCAGGGTTTGCACAATTCAGCGACATGACCATCCTTGATCTTGACTGTAAAGTAACTATGGTGATATTCATGTAGTTATATCCACTGCAATATCTATCTACACATCTCGTTGTCATATTTCTTTTGTTTGAACAGTACATATAGATGTACTCACTGATACATCAGTTCTTGGCAGGCATACTTCTGTGAATATTTACTTTTTAGGCACAATGTGTAAATACCAGTAGAGCAGGACAAGCTTATCCTTACCTAGAACGCCTCGTGTCATCGATTATTCTAGCGGTCCATTCATATAATTTCTACAGATATTTGTCCCTTACACTAAATGGGTTCTAAATATGGATTGTCAAGACTGGGTATCTCACTCATAAGTATTTCGCAGTTTCGGACAGGAATGACAATAGGAACATATAGTAACAGTGACGCTTTTAGCATCGACTTCAATAGCACGAAGGACAAACATGATTTCCTGGAAAGTATTGTTTCAAAATTATTTGACTTTATTAAGTAATAAATGCTTTTTTTTGCATTTTTTGCATTTTTTGGCAGTATAGATAAGGGAGCGTATAATCGCATTCACAAGGGATATATATATAAATCCCTTGTCTATACTGCCAAAAAATGCCCAAAATGCCAAAAAAAGCATTTATTACTTAATCGCCGGGTATGACGACCACACATATTATAATGACACCTCTGTATCAAGGCCAATATAGCAGCGGTTGTGTTCACTGAAACACAAGCACTGAAGGTTTCTTGACCGAGACACATGGAGAACGTAGTACACCATACGTATAATTTGCGGTGGATATTTGACTTGCCTGTGCTTGTGTTTCTTCCGCATGTCTGCGATGGAGCAGGACACGTTCACGTCTTCCCAACACCCCAATATCGTCATTGGATAGCATGGTCGACGCTGGACATTTCGGACATATTTTACGATTGTGAAGAATCTTATTGCTCTTGATTACCTAATAGCGGCCTGGCCTTCCTTCGGTATGATAAGGTCGTACAGATTGTAGATGAACTCGGTTCTCTTTGACGGGAGGCCATTCCTGATAGAGTCCCACTGATCTATTCCATCTCTGTTGGTCACTGCAGCATATTGACCAAATTATAGTTATAACACGACGGATCATCATGATAATAGGTATATAATAATTAAAGATGTTGTAACAGAAGACGTACACTGACGCGACGTATGAAAAACAATGACACTCAAGATATGCCATTTATGAAGAGCATTTATGTTTCCAATAACCGAATTGTCCTTACACCACGCCCATTAACGGGCAACTTTTTTAATTGGATAATAACTGAATGGGTGGAGCCGGAGTTGCATTATTTCTCTGAATGACGTCACTGTTAACTGAGGGGCGTTATCCTTGCCGGCATGTATAAATATTTAAAATAATTTGCTTTCACGGGGATCTTCACTTTAAAAACGATGCGCTAAAACGGTGTGCACCCTTTGCGCAAACCCGTTTCATTGTCTACATCGATTGATACGCACAAACGTCAACATACACTGGAAGGCATTACAGTCATACATTATATAATATATTAATTCAACAAACCTACCTGGCGTTCCTCCAGCCGCTGAAACCAAAGTCGGCAGCCAGTCTACGGCGTGGATCATTCTGGAGAGAAAGATATGGGTTCGAAGAATGGAAGTAAAATGAAGGACAAGGAATATTGTAGTACCTGTAATTTTTAGCATGAATACAGAACTGCGGTCTCTTTCTGTGTTCGTATCCACACATACAAAATTAAGCATCTCACCTATCTTTGCGTATCCGATTTGCAAGTGCAGAAGATAGTGTAGAAGATAATATGTCCGTCACGGGAATTGTGGGTACCTAATGTTCTCTTTACTTGGGCTATTTATGTATATCTGGTGTACACGGGATAAAGAGAGGAGGACGTGTTACATTTGTCTTTTTCCCATTGTACTGCATAGTAATTCAGCTGTTTATACGATCTTACCCATCATACGTGTAGCCTGTCTTCTGAAGTCCCGCCCCTGCCATTAACGCCGTCACCCTCGTACCCCCCTCCCACAGAGAGTGTTTGCCTCCTCTCAGGGGCCAGTTGTTGCCGTGGCTGAATATCTCACCTCCGTTCTGCAACAACACACATCGAGGATACATCAACAAGTAGATATTGTACGTTCCTTTGCTGCTTGTGCACTCACACAATATTCCAGTTATATGAAGGTGGTCCAAAGTAATCAAGAGTGGATTGGATATCATAAGCAGTGAACTATTCTCTCTGGATACGATGACAGCCATCAATAAAGTCAATAAGCCTACCCACCTGATCAGTCGCCTCTGACGACAACCATGGGTTGCTTATAAGACTCATTCTAACATGAAAACAGCAAAACACCCAAACACAGTCACGTACATCAGCTGTAAGCAGGAACAGCGTGTTGTCGTACAGTCCCTTCTCCTTCAAGGCGTCGGTCACGTTCCCTATAGCTTCATCAAGGGCGTTCACCATCCCTGTAAGGTTGGCAAACATGCGTAATGATAAGTCAATATGTATGGCTGATCACCACTAAACACTACTCATATAGAACATTTAATCTGAACGTTCACGATACAGTGTCCTACTAACGTACTGGACATACAAATGAACTTTTACTGATTGCTCTTTTGTCACAACACGCATCTTTACTATTTAAGGGCGTCCGCCGCCATATAGCTGGAATATTGCTGAGTGCGGCGTAAAACTAAACTCACTCACTCACTCACTTTTAAGGGCGTGGGTCTACTTCTTGTAAATGTTTCCACCTTTACTCACCGTCGAAGATCCGCCTTCCTGTATTCACAACATGTGGGAACTTGTCTTCATATATCTTGGGAACCTGAATCACAACCCAATAACTTTGCTGTTGCATAAGACAAACAGAATTGGTCCCCATAACCGTCCTTTGTTTAAATACCCTCCATATCAACATGTCCATCATATAGATACGAACTCAAACAGCCAAAGAGAAAAGAAACTCTCATCATCACAGCTCATACATTCCTAATACAACTGGCTTTGCTTTCAGTAATAAACTTGGTTTTGTCGGTCATTTCATTCTTTTTATAGATTCTTCTCTTCAAGCAGTGTTTTACTATGACTCACTCAAGGGAGACAATCCAATAGTCAGAAAGGTTAAGGCAACCATGGATGAAAACATGACTGACCTCTGTGGGGAAGTGGACGTTCTGGAAGGGCAGATACAGGAACAGCGGCTGCTCCTTGTTGTGAGCGTTTATCACATTGACGATCTTCTGTGTGAACACCCACTGGAAACCAACAAGAAACAAAATATATATGTATGTATGTATGTGTGTGTGTGTGTGTGTGTGTGTGTGTGTGTGTGTGTGTGTGTGTGTGTGTGTGTGTGTGTGTGTGTGTGTGTGTGTATGTGTGTGTATGTGTGTATGTGTGTATGTGTGTGTGTATGTATGTATGTGTATGTATATTGGGTGTATGTGGGGGTTGGGTGGGTGGCGGGGGGATGGATGGATGGATGGAATTTCCAGTCCAAATATCAACCTTACTAAACCTTCAAATAACCTGCAAACACAGCAGTGTCTCACCGCAGAATATTGTCCCTCGTAATCCCATTCCGCTTCTTGATTGTTCCTGAAGTCTAGAAACCCGGCTGAAACATACATGTGGAACAATTAGAAGATAAAGCTACTCTGTTTTAAATTTTGCGGTCCTTTATCGTTGATTTAAGACCGCTAAATTAAACATTTAGTAGTCTTTATCTTCATTCTAGCACGACTGATAAGCGTTCTAAAACCGCGCAAGAACACAAGGCGTGAAGGGGCTTTTCCTGGAAATCGCTTGGAATCGTCCCGTTGAGGGACAGGTTGTGTAATGAACAAAATAAGACATTTTCAACAACATAAATGCTTTATTTCAGGAACCAGTATGCTTGAATTTGTAAGAAGTAGCACACACAAATGAAAAAAAATACAGTTTATACTGTGAGCAAGTACAATTATTTGATTTTTCTAAAGTGAATTATTGATCTCCCCTACTGTATGACAATCGACTCGCCCCAATTCAAGCCGTGAACTCGCTAAGTTTAGTCGCCGCTAACTTTATTCACGGAAATAATTGTTGATAACCACCCTACTATTCCCAATTTGGAAAAGACCTGACATGCCACGTTTTGTGTGGGATACATGGACAGTGGAAGTGGAAGGACTGGGCATTACGGCCGGGACGGAAGCGGTCAGGTTTGGACGTGTGGGCCGACGTGTGTTGTCGACGTCATGCCCGCTAGATCTGTACCCGGTTTGAATATACTGACGCTTTTGCGCTGCTGACGGATTTTCCAGCTTCGTAGTTTCTTCACTGGGATACTTCTTCAAACCATTCGCTTTTTACTTCAAAAACACCAAAGATGCTGCCGAGATAGAAATTGCCGATGTCCGACATGTTTGTTTACAAACAATAGGGTCAACGAGTTCGTTGTATTCATACGCGGTGAATCGTTCACTTTAATTAGCGGTCTTTAACTGCTATTTAAGTACGGTTTTGATGAGCTCTCAGCCAATCAGAATCGAGTATCACACCATGTCGTGCTAGAATTATGCAATTATGCATGTCACATTGCTGATTTATAAACACTGCAGGACAAATGCGCAGCTATTAGAGGCGAATGTACAAGAAACGCAGTTCAATGATTATTTTCAATAGATATGTTGCTCTCAGGTTTGGAAGTCGTATTGTACTTTATGTGAGGTCGGTCATATTGGTTACAATTTCTTAAATAACAGTATATGTTTACATTAAAGTAAATGCTGTTGAGTGACCTTGAATGTAATAGTAATATACTTCTCAGGACATGTTAATGAAGACAAGCATCGGACGACTGTGTACTGTAATACCCACCACTGTGATAGGTTAAGTACAGTCACATAAACAACGGGCGTTGTGTAGTAGAGTGTTTGGATTATATGTACACTATAACTAGGAATTCCCTCTGTTCGCATGAGTGAGTGAGTGTATTACACTGCTATGAATATGTTTTTTCTAATACGACGACGCTACAAGAAAGGCAAATGGCAAAGACCTGACAGATCCCTGTCCAGTTTGCGGTGAATCAGGACCTAATGAACCTGGAAGTACATCCGTATAGTACGTTAGACAACTGTAGTATGGTGTTGTACAGGACTCTAAAACGTGGATTTAATAAAGGTATTCAAACTATCCTAAAATAAACGAGAGAATTCCTACTTTTACTTTCAGTATTTCTCGTGTAGCTGGATGAACTTTGTACTCACACATATTATGCATATAATAGTCTTCCTCTGAGTTATAGTAGCCGAAGAACGAGTCGAAGCCCCGGAAGGTTGGTGTGCATGCCCAGTCACAGAACCCAAGGTGCCACCTGAAGGTACACAGTCATCAGTCTCTGGCAGGACAGGTGAGTGCATCTGTACTCAGCACGCTGACCTGCTTCATGTTAAATGCGAACCAACGTTCATTTATGAATGTTGCTGAAGCTAAGTTGAAAGTAGGTCCCAGTTTAAAACTAAAGAGGGCAAAGCTTGATGGAGACTCTTTCGTGTTTTGTTTTAATAGATTCACTGATGAGCATTGTTGTTATGTCGCTGTTAACAATATCGGGACACCATAAACGAGCAAAACACATTGTGGTCATGTGATAGTTGTGTGGACTTTAACAACAGGTCTACTGTAACTCCCTGTAGTAAAGGAACAGATGAGGACTAGTTCTGTTGCACGTACTTGCCCACCATGTGCGTGGCGTATCCCAGTCTCTTCATCTCCTGGGGAATGATGGTGTAGTTCAGGGGCAGGCATACCGACTGCCCGGCTTGTATGACGTCATGCTGTAAATAGAGAACATGATATGAGTTTGGTTTTGTTTCGGCTCACTTCTATTCATCAGGTTTTCTCGGTGACAAGTGAGAGGAATCTATGTTGAAGGTACAATCTTCAGTTAAGTGGTTCACAAGACTATCATTAAACACCTCGGTATGGCAACGGTCGTGACATTAACTTCTTTATTTTCTAAATATATTGTAATATTCACATATCTGAGTATATCCAGAGTGGTCTGCTCCTGTACAGTGGGGAATCCAAGTGAGATTAGGTCAATACCTGGCTGTCCGCGCAAGACGAGATTATTTACAGACAGTGCCCATCTGCTGTTCCAGATATCAGGTAACGGAAATTGTCGAGCTGACTATGATCCTCTTTGCCAGATAGAAACTTAAGACATTTGATTCTGCATAGCAATGCCTAGATCCAAACTGGACGAAAGGTTTATATATCTAATACTATGGAATCCTAGAATGGACATTGTCTCTTTCTCGCCCATGCCAATATTTACGAAATCGCCACAATGCGACAACAAGACTTTCAGGCCATTTGTCGGACTGCAGCATTGACGAATAACATTGTTTATTCTACAATACCCTTACAGCCCAGATTTATTACTTCTGTACTGTTCATATCCACACCTTAAGAGGTGTAGATATCCCCTACAGGTGTGCAGTGGATATTTTATGTCCATTTCAGAATATTGCCTGTTATGTCAACAGACATAAACTACCGGGCAAAAGAAAGCTATCACTTTTAAAGTAATTATATAAAAAAACAAAAATGCTTGTACAGGTTTGAACCCAAGTAGAAAACATTCGCCAAACCGCAACATAGTCCCGTTAACAACGCAACTGACTGAAAATTTCGTACGAGTTGTGAATCTTCCAAAACGTGTAATTGTGGTAGAGTGGTCAAAATGCACATGCATAATTGTGGAATAAATACCGATGATGCACAGAGGAAGCATGTAGTAACCCGAAAAAAAAACACCCCGACGATTATGAGGAACATGAAGTTAGAAACGGATTGGGGATTGGGGATTGGGGATGGGTGTATCGAGTCCCGAATTTGAAAAGAAATATTCAGATTCGGGATTCGAATCCCGAATATGAAAAATATTCAGATTCGGGATTCAAATCCTGAAACACGAATGTTAAAAACCCCTCAGATTTGAGATTCAAATATAAAAAAAACTGTAGTTTGGTTGTTTATGTTTTAAGTTAACCAGGTATACAACAAGCACCTAGTACATTAGAAGGGGGGCAATAATGAATATTGACATTGTTCGTCTTTCTTCTATCGTCATCGAGGGCTGACGCCTGCAAGCAGGGAAGAGCTTCAGGACAGTTCACTATCTCCGAGAGTGCACGGCAACGTCGAGGATAGATACGTTCCGAATTCCAAATGTGTAAAAGAAATGCTTAATAAGAGTTGAAATACCGAATGCCGAGTGCCGTATCTGCTAAATAAAAAGAAATTCTGGATTCGAATCCCGATTATCGAAAAACAAATCAGATTCGGGATTTGAATCCCAAATGTGAACAAAAAATTCAGATTCGGCATTCGAATCCCGAATGAGAAACAAAATTCAGTCCCCAATCCCGAATCCGTTTCTAACTTCATCTTCCTACGACTATGCCAAGATTTACGCGATCGCAACGTGACTGGGCGATCGGTATGGCCAATATCGGGGCTTCACATAGTCAGCTGGCAACAACCTTCAACTGCAGCCAGGCCACCATCAGCAAATTGATAAACCACTAGTGGTGTTCCGATTAATTGAAATAATCGAAGATTGGTCGCAGTGACCAAGCAACCAAGCAATCGATCACATTTTCTCATAATCGAACATAAACGATTTTGGAACTACTGTTTTAGTCTTTGAAATACTTGACAATGGAACATATCTTAGAAGTTGTCAGGGCCTGGAAACATGTTTATTTCTTAGAAAACTCACTTCACTAACTGAAAAGCCATGACTGAATATTTCTCTAAGACTCCAGGAAGTTTATGTTCATAATATATTAGTCATCACTTTAAAGTAACAAGTTTCATCATGTTATACTTTTCTGCAGTAACAACCTGGATAAGAAAATCTGAAAAATGACGCTAACCAATGTTTTTCGATGATTGTTCGTTGGTAATGAAGCAATCATCGATTGTGGGATTTCAACCAATTCCCAACACTATAAACCACTAATAACAAACAGACCAGACGAAAGACGCCCAAGATTGGGAAGAACAAGAGTCACGACACAGGCCGAAGACCGCTACATCCGGCAAATCCACCTCTGGAACACATTCGTGACGGTACCGAACAGTCCCGAACAGCCCCAGCTACCGAACAATCCTTCGACGATTTTGTATGGCTGGTATACCAGCCTACCGCCCCTTCCGTGAAAGGGCCTTGACACGTCTACACCGTCAACGCAGACAGCAATGGGCATGAACTTTACGGCAGTAGCAGCGACGTGACTGGGAGAGAGTTGTCTTTAGAGAGGAAAGTCGATTCAGTCTGTTCTGAAACGATGGCAGAGTTCGAGAACTGTTCAAGAATAACTGCACAACGTTAACGTCAAGGCATTGCCTTGGCCAGGGCGTTCTCAAGACATGAACCCCATTGAACATCTGTGTGATTATCTTGATCGTCAGATGAGACAGCGTGTATCACCTCCAGCGAACTGCCTCTTTCTTAGTGAATTGTGGGAAAGGCAAGAGTAGCATACAATGAATGTTCAGTCAAATTATTGGAAAATACTTTCTGTTTGTAAAAGTTTTAAATTTCACATAGGTCTTTGTTTCTATTTTTATTTCGTGAAGTCAATGATAACTTTGTTTTTTCCCGGTAGTTTAGACACTCGCTTCCGTTATCAGTTTCTGGCATTACGGAGAAGATATATCGGCCAGATAGAGATACAGTCAAGGCAACAAGACTTCGATATATCGGTCAAGGTTTGTTAAGGTGATGTTAAAGTTTGAGGGTATAAAATGTACTGTTATGTTTCAATTCTATCCCTTCCCGAGCAGGGCACGATGAGGTTACCTCGAGGTTACACCGTTCCCTCATCACGCCGAAGACCCGGGTTCGATTACCCACAATGGTACAATGTGTGAAGCCCAGTTCTGGTGTCCCCCGCCGTGACATTGCTGGAATATTGCTAAAAGTGGCGTAAAGCTAAACTCATTCACTCACTCACTACACAAGTACTTACCTGAAGGCCAGATTTGAAGGGATAGACACCTGACATAAAGGCACTCCGGGATCTGAAAAGTATTGACAACATGGCGAGATTTTAACATTTGTGAACGTCATCACAGAAGAACATGAACAGCCAATCTGGAAGAAATTATTTTGTAAGATCTTATAGGATAGATTGATACATATCATGACTGTACAATAAACATTGAACAGAACAAATCTAAATATTATGCAATGTCAGATTTCACTCACGGACTGCATAGCGGCTGCACGTAGTGTCTGTCCAGTATCACGCCTTCTCGCGCCATTTTGTCCATATTAGGTGTCAACATTTCGCTGTTCCGAAACCCAACATCATTCCAACCTTAAAATATCAATCGAGTCAGAACATGCATACACAGGAAATACTGCTTTATTATCACAACTGTTCTTAACAATGAAACCAATCAATTTTAGAATCACTATTGGTGGTAACATAACCAAAGGGATTTGAACCATGTCACACAACGTTTTGGATCCCCAAAGGGTGCAACTTTGCACAGCGAAATACGTTGACGACTATCTTCACCCTAACCCTTACAAACCAATTTGACATGAATATATATACAGTGACACCCTAACAACGTTTACATTGTACATTGTATAACATCTACACCAGGCCAAGATCTTTGCAGTTAGATCAAAGAAGGTATGTCAACAAAGCCTCATGTCATGTAGAACTTCCACACCAACACGCAAAGGACAAAACTAGTCTGAAGTGATTTTAGTTTGTCAATCAATCTTTTAACCACAAATCAACAAGCATTCATGTTTAATACTAAATTACCTAGATCATCTGCAACGATGAATACAATATTTGGACGCTGTGAGAGGGCGCTACCGATGAGGGAAACGAGGAGGAAGGTCTTAGCCGTTGTCGCCATGATAGTGTTGTCCATACACCTCTAGTATCGAGTACAAAATGCTTAGAAATCCTGAGATATACGTACACACATTATGAAATACCACGTCTTGACCTTGTGATCTTCTTCAGCTGATAACACCCAGAAGGAATTCTACAACAGGCTGACACTGTAGACGCTGATAATATTATAGGGTCAATAATAGAATACGGGAATATAGGGCACAATGTACATAGTCTGCTGAGTATGATTAAAATGCAGTAACTATATTTGTCTTTTGCACCCACTGACACGGTATTCGGTAATTCAGGGCCACCCGTACGAAATAAATAAACGGGTGGGCCTTGTGAACCAGGTATAACGTGTGTGTGTGTGTGTGTCTATAAATACGTTGGGGGTGGTGGGGGTGGGGGTGTGTGTCCGGTCGTTTCACCCCAAGTCGTTTCATCCCAATTCCAGTCTAGGTCAATCCATCACACATTAGGGGTTGTTTCACCCCAACTAAGTGTGTACACATGGAGAATGGTATTAATGCTTTAATCTGTTAATCCTAATAAGGTAATGTTTCACACCAATCAGGTAAATGCTACTGTGTTTGTTTTGAGATGGCATCGGACTCAAGCTTATATCTCATCTCATCTCATCACGCTTAAAATTTGAATGAACATTTAAATAAGTCGACATTGAGTTAGACATTACACTTGCATTTGTGCCATGGCGACTGCATGTTTGGAAATCTGCCTCAGCTGCAAGAAGAGAGTAAGACCGCATCAAGATGGATTGCAGTGTGAAACTTGTCATCGACATCAACAGGGAATATGTAGCACAGGTAATACTTAGTCGTAACAACTGTTTGATGAGAATCTTGCATGCATGTTAGTACGCAGCGCTTGATAAATAATGTTTAGTTGATACCTTTTAAATATCCAATCAGTAAATGTAATCGGTAAATAGTTATTATTCAATAAAATGAATATTTACTTGTCTATATTGTCTGTATAGGAATACTTTCAACCAACAGGAAAATCAAGACCTGATTACCGGATAATGCGTAGTGAAGCAAATAACAGCTGGATTTGTGATGCGTGTTGCAAGCCGGTATGGAGAGTTCCTTCGCCAGACCCGCAGCAGAGAGTACACGAAGCTTAATATTGGAAGAAGAGATGGATACCCAAAGGGCTGAGGTACAAAGACCTTCAGTTTACCTTATTATGAAAAGATGGATATTATGAAAGGAAAACACCTGATGTTTGCATGTGTTACTTATTGACAGGTTGATGAGAGCATGACAGAGATCTCAAGAGATACCGATGAACATGAAACATCTGCTGCAACTGACCCATCAGCTTCTCTGAATGACTCGTTTCACATCAGCCACTACAGACATCCAGGAGGTCATTGAGAAGGAAGTGTTTTTGAAAAGATTTCAAATAAACTTTATGTCACATATATACCAACGTTAAATGGATATTGAAATATTGTCTTTACATGTTTTAGTCCATTACCAGAGCCACTGATGACGGAAACATTCATTAAAACTCCAGAAGGAGTGACGTTTGCTGTTGTTGCAAACGGTACCAGGAGGGAAGGTGCAACACTTGTGTCCTTGGATGGATATGCCTATATGGTGAAGGTATGTCCATCTTAAATTGAAGTTCTTGCGTGTGAACATTTCTATTTGCAGGTTATAGAAAATTATGTAAGTAAATAGAAATATGATGTTTTTGGCAGAGAAAAGAACAAAGATCTTATGGACGTGCAGCATTAAGAACAACACGGACAGGTGCTATGCATCTGTTTCACAGAGTAGCGATGTCTTTGAAGCAAGAGGGGAACCCACTCACCAGTCTGACTCCGGTGTTTGGAAGAAACTCGGATACTTATGCTGCGATAAGTAGATATTTCTGTAAAGAAAGTATACATATACAACTCTTACCACGAGACAATAGAAAGAAATTCAAGAAGATATCGTCATACTGTCGAGAAGCACATGCAGACAGAGAGACACATAGACACTTGCTATCCTCCGACATAGACACACACACACCACAAACAGATAGTGGGATATACACGAGCGGGTGTGTGTGTGTGTCTGTGTGCATGTGCTTCTACTACAGTATGTCGGGTTTATAATACTAGCCCACTCGCAAAACATGGATAAAGCACTCAAACACGGTATACTGACACCGAGCCGACCAGTGTAACATGGATACCCCATTCAGACAAGGTATTGTGACCCAGAGCCAGGGTTAAAACAAGCACCATTTGCTGACGTCCTTGTCTATGGTGCGTCCTCCGGTGGTCGACCCCCGACATTCCACTGTCAGGTAGACTACACCACACAGCTGGACCGAGATAAGGTGACAATGGGGTCAAAGTGTCCAGGAAATGGAGTCAGGGTTAAACACCGTTGTACATTCCAGGAGATAAGACGGGCATAGAACACGTGATACAGTCATTGTGAGAACAGGATCATAACATTCATTTTATTTTTACATTTACAGATACGTGACAGATAGATGTAACTATTAAACACAATAATTGAACACAGACTGAAAGGTTCTTCATTAGAGACTCAATGTTTAGCCATGCAGACCTGTACACATATCATACTCTTACTACATCATATCACGCGTTCAGGGCAAAACACAAAGATGGAGCCTTTAAATAGGGATTAATATATGAGAATGTGAATGATATTAGTTAAGCCGACTGTGGGCTGTAACTAAGCGCCGGTAACAGATAAAATGTAGCTATCATGGGTCAGAACGTATCATCAAGTACACCTGTACTCTGCACGGGACCAAAAGCTGGATAGTACATGGTTGAAAGAAAGGGACATACAATAGGAAGTACATCATGCTATGACCGGATTTGCGTACGTTTCCGGATAGTTTCTAAATTTGGGCGCTTTTTTATAGGAAGCTGCACCTTTGAAAGCATATGCTCATCGTATATTGCCGCATGCAAAAGCACCGTTTTCTTGTATGCTTGGACCGGATTTCAGACGTTTCCAAGTATCACTTCAAAACTTGATACCTCAGTATAACGTATGATCAGTTCAGTATCAGTTGTAGTGTCTTTATTCATAAAGTTCATATTGACTTAAAGAAAAAACGATGCATAAATGTCGGTATGAAACGGTGATTGAGTATACTATTAAACGTGACAGCGACAAATGAACTACGTCTATGGCAAGAAAGAATAGTGTACTTATGAAGCCTTGGTGCATTCCAGTCAGAATACATCTGTGAATACACAAGCAACGGAGCATATTTTGAACATAGATACGTTTATGAAAACTCTGGGATACAGTTAATAGCGACATTTCTCAGTTACAAAGTACCTGATATACTGTTGTAAAAATGGTTGTCCGCCCTGGGGCAATGGAATCAAACGCTTCTAAAAAAACATGGACAAAGTGAAAATTGCCGCGTGAGAGTGGACGCCAGCAGTGAGGATGATGAGTATTTCATACACCAAGACCCATCCTGGAAATCCTGGAACTGGGCAAAGTGCTGCAGTAATACAGGTATTAGAGTTTGCACCAGCCAGGTGTCCACGCGTTGCCGTATTTTCTGGGATCGCTGTTAGGGTCTTTAGGAGGGTAGTTAGGGGCGACCATCTGCTTCTTGTACTCCAGAAGGCGAGACTTCAGCTTGGCGACAACGTCTGGTAGCTTGGAGGCGAGGTCATGTCTCTCTGTGGGGTCATCTGAAGGAGAAAACAGTGGTGACAAGGTCATGGTTAACTTGTTGGATGTTTCATACGGTAACCGATATCTGCAGCATAGCAGATATTTGGTTGCAGTATGTATGACACAAACCAGTGGTTAATAGAATGACAATCCCACCTTTCGGGACACGGTGACACACATTCTGACGCCACCCAGTGTGACCACCCAATCCACTAGCTCGGACGTTATTTACACAGTTTGCCTTTATCTATTGTAACTGTTAATCTCAATCGGGAGGTAAGTATTGGTTGTAAGGAACCTGTTCTGCCTCGGACCACACAATATTCACGGTTACTGAAGGTCTCTCATGACCACTGCTACCTGTTTCTACGCGGAATGTGTATTGTGTTACTTGCATGGTAACGAGCGTATGTGGTCTATGAACGTAACTCAAAATGTCCAGCTATGTCAAGGTCCATATAACCCGCATCAGTTCTGGACCAGGCGAGCCAGTGACTAAAACAGAAGCAGCGGTCAACGTCACTGGGTACGAAAAAACACAATGAAATACGTCATACTGCCTAAAAGGGCTATCCAATGAACTTCGTATGATCACAAATTTGTGTTTCTTGCTTCCAAAGGGTGAAGACAAAGGTAAATGATGCTGACATATGCAACTAGATGTTGTTGCTATAGCTCGTGATACCAATTGTATTTAATTTAGTTTAAGCTCATCAGGCTACAATGTTCAAGAAAGACACGCTTGTCATAAGAGACAACTTCATGAATCTGGTAGCCTGTCTCAGAGTCCCTGAACCGCTTTATTTTCCCTTCTGCCTTGCTCTTTCTGCAATGCTAAAACTCTAAATGAAGCGAGTCTAGATTTCTTCAGGTACTCAATCTCCCTTTACACTGGGGCTCCTCTTCAATTCAAAATGAATTGTTTGTTTTCAAGGATTAAAATTATATATTCATGGACTAAGGCTTAATCGACGAACTGGGCGGTCACACTTGTTTGTTTAGTTCATTCAGCGTTAACATAGCGTGGACTCTAGTTCATAACACCAGTCGGGCGGTGGGGTAGCCTAGTGGTTAAAGCGTTGGCTCGTCACGCCGAAGACCCGGGTTCGAATCTCCACATGGGTACATTGTGTGAAGCCCATTTCTGGTGTCCCCCGCCGTGATGTTGCTGGAATATTGCTAAATGCGGCGTAAACCCAAACTCACTCACTCACTCATAACATCAGTCACTAGATTTCCAGCACGACTTCCTTACACTCAAGGTTCTGCAGTAAGTTCATAATTAAATACATACCCATCACGTTAAAAAGTTGCAGTTTATCTGGGTTGAGATCATATATAGTTGTTTCATAAATATCATCTTCGGTGTTGTTCATAGGTCGATGCCAGCCATCTTGTGTCCCCGGGAAACCCATCAGCAGCTTGTAATCACCCATCCTGCAACAAAATATACAGGAGATCCTTTTCGTGTCGGATTTAGCTTCACTCAAATTTCACATGCTCTTGAGTATGGATAGTGAGCATCGATCTTATTTGTCAGTGACGTATATCGAAGAGCTCAGGCCTCTTCAAAGTCGTTCCTCGTCAATAACCACACCAAAACACAGTTTTTAATAAAGAGAATATGATGTTTTATCTTATTCTAAGTGATTTTCGATTATCGTGAAGCACAAAAATGGGGACGTATAATCACATGAAAAAAAAGATATAAATGTTTATTCGCCATTTGTTTATATAACCACACCTCCTCTGTATCACGGCCAATATAGCAACGGTTGTGTTCATTGAGAGACAGGCACTGAAGGTTCTTGACCGACACATATCGAGACAGGTGGAGAACGTATTATTTATGCTTATAATTTGCGGTGGATATTTGACTTGCTTCTGCATGTGTTTGTGCAGCATGTCACTGATGGGGCGGAACACGTCACGTCTTCCCAACACCCCAATATCGCCATTCAATAGCATGGTTGACGCTGGACATTTCAGATATATCTTATGATTGTGAAGAATCTTATTGCTCTTGATTACCTAATGCCGGCCTGGCCTTCCTCCGGTATGATGAGGTCGTCCAGATTGTAGATGAACTCGGTTCTCTTTGACGGGACACCATTCCTGATAGAGTCCCACTGATCTATTCCATCCCTGTCGGTCACTGCAGCATATAAACCACAATACAGTTGCCATAGCAACTCATCATGGGAACAGGTAAATAATAATATTAAGGTGTTATAACTACCACACAGAACACGTACCTGACACGACGTAAGAAATGCATTAACGCCCATGTCATACTTTATTAAGAAGCATTCATGTTCCCAACAACCGAATTGTGTTTAAACCACGCCCACTAACGGATACATTTCATCTGATAAGGTGGCAACTGAATGGTTTGGACATGTGTTGTATTATTTTTCTGAACTACGTTAAAACCGGTATACACCCTTTGCGTAAATCCTATTCAGTGTGTACACCCATAGATACGTACATAGGTCGACATACATTAGAAGGTATTGCAGTCATTTATTACGTAATACGTTAATTCAATAAACCTACCCGGCGTTCCCCCTGCCGCGGAAACCAAAGTCGGCAGCCAGTCTACGGCATGGATCATTCTGGAGAGAAAGATATATTTTTGAAGACTGCCAGTGAAAATAAGTGCAGATGAGTGTCGGGTCTGTAGGGTTTTGCAGGAATACGAAACTGTGGTTTCTTTTTTTCGTATCCACAGATACGAAATTAAACATTTCACCTGTCTTTGCATGTTTCACCTATCTTTGCGACTTGAAACTGCTGAAGATAATGAATTAAACATTCAGTGTCCAAAATAGGTTTTGTGTTTACCTGACCACACTTCTGATGATGATGATGATGATGATTTGGGTATTTAAGGAGCGTTTTCCGACACAATGCGTATTGATTACCAGGGGAATTCATTTGTCTGATGTGCACGTGGTAATGAAAGGACGTATTAATTTTGTATTGTTCCCATTTTACTCCATAGAAATTCAGCTGTTCTTCTTGTATTAAGTGCTTAATGACGGAGGTACGTTCCTTGTGCATAAGGAAAGTCCGCGGCGGTTATCGTCATGGTAACGAAGCAGATTTGGAAACTTTTGGAAACCTGGTTTAACAGCATCAACCTATAACATATAGGGGGAATGTGTGACCTTCGAGCATTAACAAATGAATACTTTTCATATTTGTCATATTTCCAAATGAGCGGGGTGTACCGGATGGGAATTACGATGTACTTAAACACAGTTTCTATATTGCGTTTATACGATCTTACCCATCATACGTGTAGCCTGTCTTGTGGAGTCCCGCTCCTGACATGAACGCCGTCACCCTCGTACCCCCCTCCCACAGAGAGTGTTTGCCTCCTCTCAGGGGCCAGTTGTTGCCGTGGCTGAATATCTCACCTCCGTTCTGCAACAACACACATCAAGGATACATCAACAAGTAGATATTTGTACGTTTCTTTGCTGCTTAACATTGCACTCACAATATTCCATTCATATGAATGGTCTGAAGTATTCGAGTATGAATTAGACAATCAAGTGATATACATCATAAGCTGTGTGCTATCTTCTTTGGATACGACGACAGTCATCAACCAAGCCAGTAATTCTGACCATCCGATCAGTCGCCTATCGCGACTCATTCTAACACGCATCTTCACGTCGTTATCAGCATGAAAACAGTAAAACACAGTCACGTACATCAGCTGTAAGCAGGAACAACGTGTTGTCATACAGTCCTTTCTCCTTCAAGGCGTCGGTCACGTTCCCTATAGCTTCATCAAGGGCGTTCACCATCCCTGTAAGGTTGGTAATTGTTCACATAATGCGTTATGATAAGTCAATATGCATGGCTGATCACCATCAAACACTGCTCATATGGAACATTAATATTATTTAATTTGAACGTTCACGATACAGTGTCCTATCAACGTACTGGACATACAAATGACCTTTTATTGATTACTCTATGAGTGTCCTTCCACTTTATGTTTCCACCTTTACTCACCGTCGAAGATCCGCCTTCCTGTATTCACAACATGTGGGAACCTGTCTTCATATACCTTGGGAACCTGAATCACAACCCATTAAACGTACCGTTCCGTGAGAGAAACAAACTTGATCCCTGTCACCGTCCTTTGTTAAAATACCCTCCATATCAACATGTCCATGTTATAGATAGGAATTCAAACTGCCACAAAGAAAAACACTCTCATCATTACTGTTTGTTAATGATGTGATATATACACATGCTTATGTATTCTTACAAGTGGCTTTGCTTTCGGCAAAATGTATATTGATCCGTGCATAAAATAAGCACCACCTGTATTTTTGCCAATTAATTTTGTCTGAAATAAAGGCTAAACTCTTTCTAAACAATAACCTTTATAATTTGATAGAGCAAGCATTTAACATTTCAAAACGAAAACATCATTGAAATTACCATGTACTTTAATTAGGATAATTGCCTATATAAAACAGGTGTTTTTCTGTCCTAAAACACGTTAACATATTTTGAAAAGTGAAAGTAATAATTGATTGTTATGTGGCCTATAAATTCGTTATTTATTCTGAATGGATGAAAGTTTGTAAACTAAGATTTAGGAAAAGTTACAGTCAAACTAAATAAAATGTTAAAATGCAGTAACAGTTGCTTTACAAACAAAACAAACATGTTTTAGCTGTAATTATCAGTATCCGACAAGGAGAAGTGTTTATTCAATACAAATAAACTCAAAATCATGAAAGATTTATTCCAAAATCTTATTAATGTTGCCTTTTTCAGTTGTCAGTTAGCAGTCTGAATTGTTGGAAAAAGGTCTGAATCTTTGACATTCGGGTTCTTCCTGATTATGCATAATTAAAGCTTACTTGATGTGTAAATGTCATCTTGGTATATAACAGAATTGTTAGTTTTAGTCAAAACTTAATTTAATTGTGTAATTTGAGCAGGAGGGGAATAGTTATTTTGGGTAAAAATTCACTCCCATCACATTTTCATCAACATATTCTTTCATAAAGAATAGAAAAGATTATGGTATTTGTAAAACTGTCAATGGATAAAGCTTCTTTAACTATAGGTTGATTAAATTGATGGCTATACCCTAACTTTTCTGTAGCATCACATCTTATTTTCAAAATAGGGTGGTGCTTGATTAATGCACAGGTGCATATATACTTTGTTTAAATGTATGCGTTATTTTCAAACAGTGTTTTACTATGACTCACTGAAGGGAGACAATCCAGTAGTCAGAAAGGTTAAAGCAACCATAGATGAAAACATGACTGACCTCTGTGGGGAAGTGGACGTTCTGGAAGGGCAGATACAGGAACAGCGGCTGGTCCTTGTTGTGAGCGTTTATCACATTGACGATCTTCTGTGTGAACACCCACTGGAAACCAACAAGAAACAAAATGTATGTATGTATGTATGTATGTATGTATGTATGTGTGTGTGTGTGTGTGTGTGTATGTATGTATGTATGTATGTATGTATGTATGTGTGTATGTATGTATGTATGTATGTATGTATGTATGTATGTATGTATGTATGTATGTATGTATGTATGTATGTATGTGTGAATGTATGTATGTATGTATATTGGGTGTATGTGGGGGTGGGGTGGGTGGCGGGATGGATGGATGGTTGGATGGAATTTCCAGTCCAAATATCAACCTTACTGATCCATCAAATAACCTGCACAGGCAGCAGTGTCTCACCGCAGAGTATTGTCCCTCGTAATCCCATTCCGCTTCTTGATTGTTCCTGAAGTCTAGAAACCCGGCTGAAACATACACGTGGAACAATTATGCATGTCAGTGAGTGTTGCACATTGCTGATTTATAAACACTGCAGGACAAGTACAAGAAACGCACTGGGGTAATGATTTTCAATAAATATGTTGCTCACGGGTCAGGAAATTGTATGTACTTTGTGTAAGGTCGGTCATTTTGGTGACATTTTTTAAATAACAGTATATGCTTACATTAAAGTAAATGTTGAGTGACCTTGAAAGAAATAGTTACAATCGTAAGACTGCGTACTGATATACCCACCACTGTGATAGGTTAAGTACAGTCACATTAACAACGGGCGTTGTGTAGTAGAGTGTTTGGATTGTATGTACATTATAGCTAGGAATACCCTCTGTTCATGAGTGAGTGAGTGTATTACACTGCTGTGAATATGTTTTACTAATATGGCGACGCTACAAGTGAGAGGAAAGTGCGCGTTTGCAGATTTAGGGAAAACTAACAAAATGGCAAAGACCTGACAGATCCCTGTCCAGTTTGCGGTGAATCAGGGACCTAATGAACCTGGAAGTACATCCGTATAGTACGTTAGACAACTGTAGTATGGTGTTGTACAGGGCTCTAAAACGTGGATTTAATAAAGGTATTAAAACTATCCTAAAATAAACGAAAGTATTCCTACTTTTACTTTCAGTATTTCTCGTGTAGCTGGATGAACTTTGTACTCACACATATTATGCATATAATAGTCTTCCTCTGAGTTATAGTAGCCGAAGAACGAGTCGAAGCCCCGGAAGGTTGGTGTGCATGCCCAGTCACAGAACCCCAGGTGCCACCTGAAGGTACATTGTCATCAGTCTCTGGCAGGACAGGTGAGTGCATCTGTACTCAGCACGCTGACCTGCTTCATGTTAAATGCGAACCAACGTTCATTTATGAATGTTGCTGAAGATAAGTTGAAAGTAGGTCCCAGTTTAAAGTTTAACAAAGAAATGCTTGATGGAGACTCTTTTCTTTTGTTTCAATAAATTCACACATTCATTCAGTTGCAGAAATATGCATGATGAGTGAGCATTATTTTACGCCTGTTAACAATAGTCCGGCAATATCGCGACACCACACCAAAATCATTAACATGCGGTCATGTGTTCGTCTTGTGAGCTTCAACAACAGGTCTCCCCAACTTCCTGTACTAAAGGTACAGATGAGGACTAGTTCTGATGCACTTACTTGCCCACTATGTGCGTGGCGTATCCCAGTCTCTTCATCTCCTGGGGAATGATGGTGTAGTTCAGGGGCAGACATACAGACTGTCGAGCTCCTATGACCTGATGCTGAAAATAGAGAAGATGGTATGAGTTTGTTTTCTTTCGGCTCACATCTATTCATCAGGTTTTCTCAATCACAAGTGAGAGGAATCTATGTTGAAAGTACATTCTTTAGTTAAGTGGTTTACAAGACTACCATTAAGCAACCCAGTATGCTGACGGTCTTGAAATTAATTTCTTTTATTTTCTGAATATATTGCATGTAATGTTGACATATCTGAGTATATCCAGAGTTGTCTGCTCCTGTGCAGAATAGGTCAATACCTGGCCTGTCCGCTCAAGACAAGAATATTCATAGATAAAGCCCATCTGCTGTTCCATTATAGTAGGTACCGGAAATTGCTGAGTTGACTATGATCCTCTGTTTGCCAGACAGGCACTTGAGATATTTGATTCTGCATAGCAATGCCGAGATTCAATCTGGACGAGAGGTTTCTATATTTAATACTATGGAATCCTCTAATGGACATTGTCGCGTTCTCACGCATGAAAAGACTCTCAAAATTAAAGAAAGCGCGACAATGCGACAACGCGACTTTTTGGCCATTTGCCTCACTGTCGCACTTTCGCACTGACGATCTCTGAATAACATTGTTTATTCTAAAATGCCCTTACAGCTCAGATTTATAACTTCTGTACTTCATACATATGCATATTTTACTTGGTGTAGGTACTCCTCGGGGAATACAATAAATATTTTATGTCTGTTTCAGCAGTTATGTGACATGGACACACGCTTCCGTTTGGGTGTGAAGCGCTTTTCACCGGTTTCCAACAATTGGAAAATTGCTGGTGCGACGTAAAGCAATATCCATCCGTTTCTGGGCACACTTCCAGATGACGACCACACATGGGTACGGTCAAGACAGCACGACTTCGATATATCGGTCAGACAGAGATACAGACAAGCCAACAAGACTTCGATATATCGGTCAGATATGGTTACTGTCAAGACAGAAAGACGTCGATATATCGGTCAGATATGGTAACTGTCAAGACAGAAAGACGTCGATATATCGGTCAGATATGGTTACTGTCAAGACAGAAAGACGTCGATATATCGGTCAGATATGGTTACTGTCACGACAAGAAGACTTCGATATATCGGTCAGATATGGTTACTGTCAAGACAAGACGGCGATATATCAGACAGATAGGGATACAGTCATTCGATATATCGGTCAGATATGGTTACTGTCAAGACAAGACGGCGATATATCAGACAGATAGGGATACAGTCAAGACAACAAGACTTCGATATATCAGACAGATATATCGGTCAGATAGGGATACAGTCAAGACAACAAGACCTCGATATATCGGTCAGATAGGGATACAGTCAAGACAACAAGACCTCGATATATCAGTCCGACAGAGATACAGTCAAGACAACAAGACTTCGATATAATCGGTCAGATAGGGATACAGTCAAGACAACAAGACCTCGATATATCGGTCAGATAGGGATACAGTAAAGACAACAAGACTTCGATATATCGGTCAGATAGAGATACAGTTAAGACAACAAGACCTCGATATATCGGTCAGATAGGGATACAGTCAAGACAACAAGACTTCGATATATCGGTCAGATAGAGATACGGTCAAGACAGCAAGACTTCGATGTATATTGGTCTGATAGAGATACGGTCCAGACAACAACACTTCGATATATCGGTCAGATAGAGATACGATCAAGACAGCAAGACTTCGATACATCGGTCTGACAAGGTTACTGTCAAGATGATGTTAAGGTTTGAGACTGTAAAATGTACTGTTGAATTTGAAGCCTGTACCTTCACGACTAGGATACGGTGAGGGAGCATTGAGGTTAAAGCGTCCGCTCATGAACCCAGCTTCGATTCCCCGCTAAACTAAGCTAAACTCACTCACTCACTCACTACACGAGTACTTACCTGAAGGCCAGATTTGAAGGGATAGACACCTGACATAAAGGCACTCCGGGATCTGAAAAGTATTGACAACATGGCGAGTTTTGAACATTTGTGAAGGTCATCACAGAAGAACATGTACAACCGATCTGAAGGAAATTATTTTTTAAGATCTCATAAGATTGAGTGCTAAATATCATAACTGTAGAATAAACATTGACAGAACAAATACAAATATTATGCAATGTCAGATTTCACTCACGGACTGCATAGCGGCTGCACGTAGTGTCTGTCCAGTATCACGCCTTCTCGCGCCATTTTGTCCATATTAGGTGTCAACATCTCGCTGTTCCGAAACCCAACATCATTCCAACCTTAAAATATCAGTCGAGTCAGTACATGTATACACAGGAAATACTGCTTTATTATCACAACCAATTTTAGAATCACTACCATGGCCAAAGGGATTTGAACCAAGCCACATAACCTTTTGGATCCCAAATGGGTGCATCTTTGCGCAGCGAAATACGGTTTCCTTGATGACTGGCTTCACCCTCCCTTTTACTGAGCTACTGTACATGAATGCATGAAGTGACAACATAACAACATTTACATTGTACATTTTATAAAATATAGGTTAGGCCAAGATCTTAGCAGGTAGATCAAAGAAGTATGTCAACACCAATACACATCAGGTAAAACTAATCTGAGGTGAGTTAGTTTGTCCATCAATCTTTTAACCACAAATCAACAAACATTCCTATTAAATACCAAATTACCTAGATCATCTGCAACGATGAATACAATATTGGGACGCTGTGAGAGGGCGCCACCGATGAGGGAGACGAGGAGGAAGGTCGTTGCCGTTGTCGCCATGATAGTGTTGTCCATACACCTCTAGTATCGAGTACAAAATGCTTAGAAATCCTGAGATATACGTACACACATTATGAAATACCACGTCTTGACCGTGTGATCTTCTTCAGCTGATAACACCAAGAGGGAATTCTACAACAGGCTGACACTGTAGACGCTGATAATATTATAGGGTCAATAATAGGATACGGGAATATAGGGTACCCCCTGAACCAAAACACTTCGTTAATGTATAAGGGCCACGTCAGGGCTACTCCTGCGAAATAAAGTCTTGTGACACAGGGCAACACGTAACGTGTACACTTACACTCTGTTTCACAAGGCATGCACACACACCACCACCACAAACAAATAGTGGGATATACAGAGAGAGGTGTGTCTGTGTGTGTGTGTTTGTGTGTGTGTGTGTGTGTGTTTTCTTTCTGTAGACCCACTGGAATAACATAGATACCCGATACTCCGAGCTGACCAGTGTAAGATAGATACCCAACTCAGATACAGTATACTGACACCGAGCTGACCAGTGTAACACAGATACCCCACTCAGACACAGTATACTGACACCGAGCTGACCAGTGTAACACAGATACCCCACTCAGACACAGTATACTGACACCGAGCTGACCAGTGTAACATAGATACCCCACTCAGATACAGTATACTGACACCGAGCTGACCAGTGTAACATAGATACCCCACCACTCGGACGCAGTATACGGACACCGAGCTGACCAGTGTAATACAGATACCCCACTCAGACACAGTATACTGACACCGAGCTGACCAGTGTAACATAGATACCCCACTCAGATACAGTATACTGACACCGAGCTGACCAGTGTAACATAGATACCCCACTCGGACACAGTATACTGACACCGAGCTGACCAGTGTAACATAGATACCCCACTCAGATACAGTATACTGACACCGAGCTGACCAGTGTAACATAGATACCCCACTCGGACGCAGTATACTGACACCGAGCTGACCAGTGTAACACAGATACCCCACTCGGACACAGTATACTGACACCGAGCTGACCAGTGTAACACAGATACCCCACTCAGACACAGTATACTGACACCGAGCTGACCAGTGTAACACAGATACCCCCACCACTCAGACACAGTATACTGACACCGAGCTGACCAGTGTAACACAGATACCCCACTCTCGACACGGTATACTGACACCGAGCTGACCAGTGTAACATAGATACTCCACTCGGACGCAGTATACTGACACCGAGCTGACCAGTGTAACATAGATACCCCACTCCAGATACAGTATACTGGCACCCAGCTGACCAGTGTAACATAGATACTCCACTCGGACGCAGTATACTGACACCGAGGCTGACCAGTGTAACACAGATACCCCACTCGGACACAGTATACTGACACCGAGCTGACCAGTGTAACACAGATACCCCACTCAGACACAGTATACTGACACCGAGCTGACCAGTGTAACACAGATACCCCACTCAGACACAGTATACTGACACCGAGCTGACCAGTGTAACACAGATACCCCACTCGGACACAGTATACTGACACCGAGCTGACCAGTGTAACATAGATACCCCACTCAGATACAGTATACTGACACCGAGCTGACCAGTGTAACATAGATACCCCACTCGGACGCAGTATACTGACACCGAGCTGACCAGTGTAACACAGATACCCCACTCAGACACAGTATACTGACACCGAGCTGACCAGTGTAACATAGATACCCCACTCAGATACAGTATACTGACACCGAGCTGACCAGTGTAACATAGATACCCCACTCGGACACAGTATACTGACACCGAGCTGACCAGTGTAACATAGATACCCCACTCAGACACAGTATACTGACACCGAGCTGACCAGTGTAACATAGATACCCCACTCGGACGCAGTATACTGACACCGAGCTGACCAGTGTAACACAGATACCCCACTCAGACACAGTATACTGACACCGAGCTGACCAGTGTAACACAGATACCCCACTCAGATACAGCTGACTGACCAGTGTAACACAGATACCCCACTCAGACACAGTATACTGACACCGAGCTGACCAGTGTAACACAGATACCCCACTCAGACACAGTATACTGACACCGAGCTGACCAGTGTAACACAGATACCCCACTCAGACACAGTATACTGACACCGAGCTGACCAGTGTAACACAGATACCCCACTCAGACACAGTATACTGACACCGAGCTGACCAGTGTAACACAGATACCCCACTGACACCGAGCTGACCAGTGTAACACAGATACCCCACTCAGACACAGTATACTGACACACCGAGCTGACCAGTGTAACACACAGATACCTGACCACTCTCAGACACATTATACTGACCCCACCGACACAGCTACTGACACAGCTGACCAGTGTAACACAGATACCCCACTCAGACACAGTATACTGACACCGAGCTGACCAGTGTAACACAGATACCCCACTCAGACACAGTATACTGACACCGAGCTGACCAGTGTAACACATATACCCCACTCAGACACAGTATACTGACACTGAGCTGACCAGTGTCAGTATGTCGGGTTTATAATACTAGCCCACTCGAATAACATGGATAAAGCACTCAAACAGGGTATACTGACTCCGAGCCGACCAGTGTAACATAGATACCCCACTCGGACAAGGTATTATGACTCATAGCCAGGGTTAAAACAAGCACCATTTGCTGACGTCCTTGTCTATGGTGCGTCCTCCGGTGGTCGACCCCCGACATTCCACTGTCAGGTAGAGGCTGTGTGTACTACACCACACAGCTGGACCGAGATAAGGTGACAATGGGGCCAAAGTGTCCAGGAAAGGTTGTCAGGGTTAAACACCGTTGTGCATTCCAGGAGATAAGAGGGGCATAGAACACGTGATACAGTTATTGTGAGAACAGGATCATAACATTCATTTTGTCAGTATTTACAGATACGTGACAGAAAGATACAACTATTAAACATTATAGCAGACACCGAGACACAGACTGAAAGGTTCTTCATTAGAGACCCAGTGTTTAGACATGCAGACCTGCACAACATCTCACAACTTACCACACCATGTAAGAATCTACAACACGCGTTCAAGCAAAACACAAAGACAGAGCTTTAATATAGGCTATAAATATGCGAGAATCAATCGACAGAAGGCGACAGGTGACTGTGGGCTGTAACGTGGCGAGGTTGCAGATACAACTATACTTTGAGGACCGCAGCTGTCTGGGTCACAACGCATCACGAAGTACAGCTGTACTCAACACACGGCCAAAAGCCGGATAGTACACCATTGAAAGATACGCAAATACGATAGGAAATACATGCTATGACCAGATTTGCGTACGTTTCCTGATATTTCCTTTAAGTGCATTATATATATGAATCGCACCTTTGAAATCATATGCTCATCGTATATTGCCGTATGCACAGCAGCCTTTAACATGTCTGCTATGACCGGACTTGCAGACATTTCCAAGTATGAATTCAAAAGTTGATAACTTTAACAAATGCTCAATGGTACAGAGTTTCCAACACACTCCTTTCAGTTGTAAAAAGTGCTCTTATGTCTGAATCTATACTAATTTACTAGGTTTGAAATATGAAAATTTCCTTAAGTGGGGAAAGTTTTGTAAATTTGTAAATTTTGGAATGTTTCCATGCCTTAGAAATATATTCGCCATTCTTAACATCGAGGGTATGTATTTACCAGTTTTATGTGTTCACATTATAGGCACTAAAACAAAATGATCGCTATGGGTTATGCTGGGATCACATTGTTCTATTTTCACAAATACTCACGCCTTTGACAGGAAGCATCACATGACCTGACTATGCTTCAACCAAAACGTGCCTGGCTAAGCATAATAGTGTTATGCAAGCGGACACGTTTCTACAAGGTCACAAAGCAAGCTTAATGACTAGTACTTCCCTTCAACCAATTATCAGCTCTTTCGACAAATGTGAGAAGCTAAAAAGGGCTTCAGACATTTTAGCCGTTAAGTGTTTGCATAAATGTTGTAAGGCTGGGATTTGATTTTCTGTCGTGTATAACAGGTAACTTATAGTTTATCGAACTGCGCTATTAAGGAAACATTGAGATGAGATAAACATTTAGTAAGCACCAAAACAATGAAGAGTAGAATGAACATGTCAACTTAGTGTCAATAGTCCGTTTGAATAAAAATGTTGCTTAAGAAACGAGGGCAGTGGGGTAGCCTAGAGGTTAACGCGTTCGTGCGTCACGCCGAAGATCCGGGTTCGATTCCCCACATGGGCAAAATGTGTGAAGCCCATTTCTGGTGTCCCCCGCCGTCTGGAATATTGCTGAAAGCGGCGTAAAACCAAACTCACGAACGAACGATCATTATTTTGTTGTCACTTTTCGCTATTTCTTACGAGGGAGAACCACTTGCTCTTAGAACAGCCAGGTAATCAACAAGCTTGTGTAATGACTGTTTCTTAAACAACCTTTTCATTCTTGTCCAAACCTATCTTTTGAGACAAATCATCAGAGTTTTCATATGACTTTGCAAAATTTGGTTTTGTTGCTATTATAAGATTTTGTGTTAGAGGGCAATTCATGGGTCTCAAATGAAACGGTCTATAGAGCTCGCTTTTCGGCATGTTCACACATGAAAATGAGTGATGTATGGAAGTCAAACTATCAGACATTATTTATTTGGAGTTATAAAGCTACTCGCTGTCCAAAACGTTTGCTTCTGTACAAACAACCCGTACATTCTAGTGTCATTATTTGTGAGTGTGTGTGTGTGTGTGTGGGGAGCGATTTGCATGTACGTTTCCCTTCCTTGCACTGAATCATCTTTGAAAATTTGACGAAAAATCAATGTCAGAACCTTATTTCAGCGTGTACGATTTCCGGTAAAGATCACGAAAAAAACATACACATTTGTCAATTTTATTTGCGATTGCACTTCGTGACTCGACGTGAGCCAGGTAACTAAGCCAGAAGCCGATATAAAAT